AATGCATAAAAGCTGAAACTCGTTTATTTATTCTATAAATCTGAATATAGTTCATGAAAGATCACAGAGTCAGCTCCACAAATACAAAGCTCTAAATACCCAAAGTCCCAAGATAGAAAAACTGCCACCAACCTGGTGGTGTGTCTTTATCAGAACACATAGCATTTAAAAAAAAAAAAAAGTTGTCTTCTTTAACCAGACAGAAGAGCATCAGAAAGATATGCCCAAACAGTTCTTCTATGGGGGTGAGCAAGCAGAGAATTGTGAAATGCCATTTACTATTAAATAATTTATTCTATTGCCCCATTCAATACACTGGATTTGCTTCTGTGTGCAGTCAAGTGTGAGAACTGTGGTTTCACTTTGGGTTTCACCTTTTTTAAATAATACATTTTTAGCAGGTGAGATCTTTTTGACCACCCTGGAATTATTCTAGCTAAGGAATCGTAACATGTGATAATTGATATTTTAAATGGTATGAAGACCAGCATGAAACAGTCCCTAATACTGAGGGAAGGGAGTAACGAGGTTTATCACAGTGTCCTCACACAAGGGGGCCCCATTAGCTAGTTGGACATCCTCTGTACCGCCTGGCAAGTCAATGGAAGAGGAGGTCTTGGACGAGATGGCTTATTCAATCAGTAAAACATAAGTTATTCGGTTCATGAAACTTATTAGTCTGCCTCCAAGATTTCAAAGCTGAATTACAAACCCTCTGCTGCCTTCTGCACTCTTCCTATCATCTCATCCAGTAGCACATCTAAGGATATTGGCCACTTGCCTAACGAGTCACAATAGGGACGTCATCATTACAAGTAACAAGGAGAGAAACTGCTGCTAAGGAGACAACGCTATCTCTAGTTTTTGAAATGAAGGTTCTTGTACCTTGGGAACTATCTGTACACTCTAAAAAATCCCCCTATTTTATTGGTCACTGATAAGAATCTCAATTTGGGAACTGGGGTTTCTCTTCCCAGAATCCTCCTTTCTGATTGCAGGTATAACAAAATACTTCAACTACACCTGCTTGGGACATGTTTTCTGTCTCTACTCCAAGCTAATTTCTAAGACCAATATTTCAGAAGAGAGTGCTATCAGTATGAAGTCATTTTTTCCTTAATTGTTTTACTAATAGACCAATTGAGGAAGTCCTGATTTTTAAAGCAAAAGAAACTGAATAAACATGTAATACTGGGTAAATATAGCTAAAAGTATTGAAAACAAAGAATGATAATTGCTAATATTTTCAGTATCAACTATTTGTACAGAGAAGTCCAAACTACTTCAGAAAGGGAGGGAGCAAAATTTATACGGTGCTTTCCATGGAGCCTGGGCAAGAGTCGGCTATGGGTTCTATCAGGTTCTTCTATATAAATACATTTTCTCTTGTCTACATCTTTGGTTTCTTTTTTATTTTATTTTCTTTTTTGAAGGTTTTATTTATTTATTTATGAGAGACACAGAGAGAGGTGGAGACATAGGCAAAGGAAGAAGAAGCAGGCTCCCCGTGGGGAGCCCGATGCAGGACTCAATCCTAGGACCCCAGGATCATGACCTCAGACTCAACCACTGAGCTACCCAGGTGCCCCCATATCTTTGGTTTCTCTCTCTATTCCTTTAACCAGCAAACTGTTATTGGAAGAGTTCCGTATGCACTGCAACATTCCAGGACTTGCGGGGGACACAAAGATAATTGGTTTGCATTTTATAAAATGCTTTCTCAGTTTGTTCTGAGAAAAAACATATAAGGTAAGTAATTGAGCTAATTCTCTTTTAAAATTTCTTTGGTAGAAGCTATAGCAACTATACTTTTATCAGTAGGCATATTTACTGATTTTGGGTCTTGTGCCATCTGTTCCTATCCTATAAAGCTGCTAATCTCCAGGCTTTTAAGACACCAGGCTAGGGAGAAAGCTGGACATGTACAATTGGGAATCTGGGCCGAGAAGTTTAATTTCTCTTTGCGAGATATTTGTGCAGAAGGATAATTTTAAGGCCTGCATCAGCTCTAGGGACTGGTGTCATGACAGTCATAGAAAACAGGTGTTTTTCAGTTGGGAATGGTGATCCCCCTCCCCGCCTCACAATCTCCCTGTGGTTTTCGTAGAACTCTGCCTCAAAGCTCCTGTATCCCTCCTTTATGAAATCACCAAATATCCTTTTAAGGTCTAAATTCGACACACAGTGCTGCACAGATATAAAGGGGAATGTGATAGATATTCCCAGTGTTGCAGGAGCACTCTAGTTCACCAACAATGTCAGTGAACACCAAGGAAGCCTGGTGGGGGGGACCTAGCTCCCCTGCTGCCCCTGAGCACCTTCTCCCAGTTACATGTCCAAGCCTGGATGTAGTAAGCAGAAACTCTTGTCAAGATGCTGATGAGTAGAGCTTGGCGTGAAGTCTGCCCAGCAATACCTGCAAAGTTACGCAGACAAAATTCGCTGCTCTGTCTCAACAGAGAGGGCTACTGGAGACGGTGTCTGAAAACAGCATTCCCCTTCCTTTTGTGCACTTACTTTTGAATGTGTTTTAAGGTTTCTAGAGCTCACATAGAAGAGGTAGGCCCTTGCTCTTTCACAGCCAAAGTATAAAAATGTACAGAAAAAAAAAAAGAAAAAAGAAAAAAGAGATCACTTGTTATTCTGACATGATGATTCTGAGTTACTTGGGCTAAGTGCCCTATTTCTGTTCTGTCTCATACTGTAATACACTGTCTAGCAAAATGCATAAATGTTTCTTAGACATTTTTTTAGTCTTGTCTTTTGCTACACACATCTAGAGAAAAAGTGATAAAGCCATGGTTTTTAAAAAGCAATATTTCTGTTCATTTTATTAGAAAAATGATTTTTTAAGCACCGGTTTATTAAATCAGTATATTCTTAAATTATAACCAAAATATGTTTGTGCATATTTACAGATATAAATATATATTCATATGTATATATTATGCGATATATACTTACTTATATATGTAAATAAATAAATATTTATATGTCTCAATATACACGATTATGAGGCTTATATTTGGTAAAATATTTTAGTAATGCTTTTGGTAATAGTTGCCTTTCCTTAGCTTATTTAGATGTAACTTAATAGTTGTATTTTAAATATGATGTGTAATGAATTTGTATTTGTCAAGATATGATTGTGATGTATTTAAGTTCATTACAGACTTACTTGTAACAAAATTATTCTTTAAAACAACGCTTGCCCCTCATAGTCATGAGATTCGCTTGCCAGCTCAACCTCTACTGTCGCGGCTGTGCTGTCTCTTAACTAACTCTGGGGTTCTTGGAGAATATCGGTTACCAGAGAAATATGTCTTCATTGTGCACCATACTTTTTAAAAAAGGTAAAAATCCTAAATTTGTTTATATTAGTCCACATCAACCCTACCAATGGAGTATATCCCTTTGTCTAATCTTCCAAACTGGATTAAAATTCATTTGTAGGTCATTAAGTCAACCACTGTAACTGCTGCAAGAAGTTCATGTGTCAGTAGTCACCCACACAATGAACCTCTATGCAGGTGTCATTTCCTGCGAACAAATAAGGACACATTTCAAAGAGGCTGACAGAGCAGAGCTTGAGTCCTAGACTGTACTAAAAACTTATTTCTCTATTTTTTTTTCTCCCTGCTTTTAACTAAACTGAAACCCTACCAATGCCACCATCATTTCCTGAAGGTCTTAAAATCAGAGCAGCTCTCCTGCCCAGTCTCATCTGATGGTAGCACTTTTCCTGGACTCTTTTTTTTTTGCCTCTTTGGCAATATAGCCTGCTATCACTTTGAAAATGGTGCAAAGGAAGTGCTTTCCATTAACTTCCAATTTATTCCTTTCCTATTGCGATCCTAAAATGAGCAAAAGGAATGCTAAGAACAGAATTTTAATGTAATTCAATTGAAAAGGTTTGTTCCTCTGACAAAATCATGCTGCTGGGTAACATTCATTTTATTAAAAGGGAATCTGTCAAAAAAGAAAAGCAATTCAAGCTACAGGAGAACTCAGCTTCATGTATAAGATCCATTCCAGAAAAGTTGTACAGAAAATATTTGGATATTGGATCATTTTTTTCTACTGACTTTTATTATAATTTTAGAGGTGTACTCTACAGAAAACACTTTTGCTCCAGCACATCATTGTAAAAATCACACTAAGGAACTCAATATTCATTTCAAGGACTATTTTGCATTTGTCAACATGCCATCTCTGTACATCTAATTTCCCCTTATGGTTTGTGAGATGTTAGTGAAGTGAACAGTAATCGAAAATGATTTTACATATGCGTTCACTGCAAAGTACATATCCCATAAAATATACAATGGCTGATTCTCATTTCATTCTGATTGACCTCACAAAATGTGACTGTTCAAATAGCACACTGCCTGGGCCACCACTCACATATTTAGTAGAAGAATATCCTGGCAGGATGAGCCTCATCCTTTTTCATACGCTTCCACAGCAACCCAGCACTTGCTGATTTGCATTTAGTGGAAAGGTCCTTTTAAGTACAGTTTAGATTCTCCACAAACTGATTGTAAGAAGTTAAGGCTTTCTCTCTGATAAGAAGAACATTTGTAGCATTAATGTAAATAGCTAACTTCATTGTGAATGTTTTTAAAGTTCCTCTGTAGTGGCAGCTTTATCACGTGGGCTAATGTAAACCCAGAGGGTTTATGCCTAAAATCAAAGCTGTAGTCCACTTCTCCAAAGGTTTGCTGTTAATACATTAGATCTGTAGGGAGCACAATGTCAACCCTTAAGCAGAAGTAGACTGACCGTGATGCCAATGGCATGTAAGCTTCAGAATTTCTCATTGCCTGGGTCCCTTTTTTTTTTTTTTTTTGGTCTAATTTTTTTCTTCTTTTTTAGAGAGACAGAAGCTCCAGGTCTCCCCAAACTGGATCCCACCTGCCCTTAAGATTATATCATTATTTTTAGATTGCATTACTATATCACAGCATTTTATAATCAAAGCAGAATTTGGATATACTTACTCAAAAAACGTTGTCCATCCAGTTTCATCGCTTTTAGTTGCTAAAAGGCCGCTATTGCCATGGTAAGTAAACAAAACTAATTCTAGTCCTTGAGCGGTCATGCTTTTCAAACATCCATTCGTTCCTATCGTCAACCATATCACTTGGTTATCTGGAGACACCACTCGAACTGGCATCCGATTCGGGTCCCGTCTAATTCTAAGGGTATTGCCATTGCTGTCTGTCACTGCGGTAATATCGTTATCATTGCTGTAGCTAAAATTGTACAGGTAATCACCAGTGACTAAACTTACAGTATATTGGTGAGTGCCATTGATGTCAAAGATATAGAGTTCCTGGTCAGTTGGAGAGGCAACTTCATAAAAGTTCATAGAGTTAAGGAAAGGCTTGTTCTTTGACACAGCCCGGATCCGTATATTGCCCAGGTCTGCGATGTACAGGGTGCCATCGGGGGAGGCAGCCAGGGAGGAAGGTGCGCTGAGCTTGGCATCTTTGGCATAGCCATCTCCGCTCTGGTAACAGTCACAGTTGGCATCATTTTTGCAGTCACACTCTGAAGGGATTCCCGCCACCAGGGAGATCTCCCCATCTGTGGTGACCTGCCTTATTCGGTTGATTTTCTTTTCGTCGGTTTCAGTGATATACAGGACCCCGCTGTATGACACTGCGATGGCAGTGGCAGATTCCAGTGTTGTCTGAACTGCATGCTTCCCCACGGAATATTCCACCCCCGGAACCTGGCAGTGCATGGGCCGCCCAGCAGCAATGCGCACTTGACGATTTTCAGTGATTTGCAGGACCACATTATTATCCAGGACGTAAATGGAGTTATCCATAGGGTTAATGGCTAGGTCAGTGGGCCATTCCAGACGTACCTTCATAATAGAAAGAAAGGGTCTGGTTAGTCAGTGACTGTGCTGTAGTTAATCTGCCAGAAGAGTAAATTAGACCATTCGAGGAAATTACCTTTAATTTGATCAACTGTTTTAAAATTGTTTCCTGGACGAGCTACTGTAAAATCAACTTAAGAATTTCGAGGGGACACAAATGTAGGTAATAGCATTTTAGTTAAAAACGCAGCTCCCTGAAAGATTTGGAAGTCATAGCCAAATAGCAAACGAATCCCTAAGCAGGGAGTTAAGAGGTATCAATGAGATAGGAACACATATGTTCCTATAGCAGTAATAACTGCCAAACATTGAGGCTTTCTAGGTTATGAATACATTAGTGTTCTATTGTGTTTTCAATCAAGCCAACAGTAAAGGTCCTAATTCTAAATATAAGTCCCTAGGGACTAATCATAGTGGGCTCTCTACTACTTAAAAAGCTCATGTGATCAAAAGATTAGAGATTTAAGCTGTTTTGTTCTTTTTGGAATATCTGCATGCTACTTTACTGGTATTTTATTACAGATGCCTTAGCATTTCTTAAGTGCTAATTGTTCTGTAATCTCATTGAATTCATCAAATGCAGAACGATAAAAGAAAATAACTTTTTATCAGCTCCTGAAATACATTTAAATGGAACAGCTTTATTACCATGAACGCCACACATGATATATCCAGTTTAATATGGGGCCATCATGGACTACTGACCTAGGAAACCAGGATACTTAGAAGAAAAACAAACAAGCAGCTTAATATTTTAAACTACCTGGCTGATGTGCATGCTGGTGTCACAGGTTAAAGGTCTGGCTGAAGTCAGATCGTTAGAGCCCAGGAGAGTTGATATGATCCCATTTTGATCAACTTTTCTGATCATGGTTCCATCAACAAAGTAGATCAATCCATTCTTATCAATCGCCATCCCTTTTCAAAGAGAAATAATAAGTGTGACCAATTTTTCAATGTGATTCACATTCACAGGCCCATCATTAAATTCAACACTCAAACCACAAGGATAACATGGGTGACCGGTAGCAGGTAGGATTGCAGATTGCAAATACATTAGGACAAACCCAACAGAGGCATTTAAAACAAAATCAATGTAAAATGTAATCAAGAAATAGTCGAAATTTGTAAGAATCTCCACTTAGTGTACGAATCATATAGGTGGTGACTGCATTTTAAATATAAAATTATAACTTCTGTATAATGTTGTCACCTCTCAATTATAGAAACAGGCCCAATTCTCTTACTCTGAACTTAGAGTAACTATATTCTAACAAAAACAGATCTAAGCCAAGGTTAGTGTTTCGTTGACCTTGTTACAATGAAATTTGCTATTATGAATAATTCAGTACAACAAATGCTTTTTTCCAGTCCTTGTTCACATAACAGTTGCTAGCTATAATGAAAAAAAAAAAAAAAACACCCAAACCAAAAAACACTGTAATGAATAGCATAATACATGAGCAAGGAGTCAGTCCCAACTGGTTTAAAAGCTAGAAACCTTTATCACATAGAATTTTAGCCCTTGTTACCTCTAGAAATTCCTCACAGCAAGCATTTTTTCCCATGGCATAGAAACAAAAGTTTAATAGCTCCAAACTGAGTGAGGACTAATAGCGTTGCTTAGTGATGGTTTTTAAAGAGGCCTGGGACTCATTCATGACAAAGAGATTCCAGGACAATGAAAGAATCTGGACACTTCTTGAAGTTTAACAGGATGTGACCTGAATACTATGGACTAGTTGCTTTTTTCTTTGAGAAGTTGAAAAAAATGGTATGATAACAAATGCCAAGAGCCTCATATTTACTGTAAAATCAACTTAGGATTCTAGCAGTTTCACGCTAAATGGCTTTGAAAAAACACTAGATGTGAAACAGCTTTCTAGAACACAGTTGAGGGTAAAATGTTAGACTCAGCATTAAACAGAGTCAGGCACTAACTGGGTTTCCTATCCTTTTTTTTTTTTTTTTTTTTTTAAATAAAAAGAAATCCCCAAATTGATAAATGGTAGTACCTTTGGGACTCATGAGCGTTGCTTCTACAGCCTTCCCTCCATCCCCACATCTGGCTTCATCAAACGGAAGGCACTGCTCCCCGGTCCCTGCGACCACTTCAGCATTTTTAGTTAAATCTTTTGTACCCGTAAGGGATTTGGGGCGATAAATTCTGCGGGTGTTAGTGTCAGAAACATACAAATCTCCCGTAACTGGATCGGTTGCAAGGTAGTATCTATGAGCTGGGTTGCTGCTGTAAAAAAAGGATCATACATAAACATCACAAGACAGTTACTCCTAATACACAGGGGAGAATTAAAAGCAAAACAAAACCGATCATGAGAAAACTGATTATAAACTGAAATCCATTATTAAAGACTGGAAAATGAACAGCATATTTAATAACGACTTCAAAGAATAACTGAGCTCTGACAGGGCTGTTTTCCTCACTTGCTCGTTGCAGAGCTTTTAATTTATTAAATTTATTAAAACAGTCATCTTGAAAATTATTCCCTTTAGAAGGCAGTATGCTTTTAGCCAAAAACAACGAGAGCAGCAAGTTCTCTAAATCCTTTTGGTTTGATGAAAAGCCATTAATAAATTGCCCTTGAGTGACACACATAAAGTTTATTCCAAGGGAAGGGTGTCTCTGTCAAACTCCAGCGAAGTATAATATACTACTGATTTCACTCACGCCTCATCAGAGGGAATCCTCCTGTTTGTTTGCTACAAATCCCAATCACGTGAACACCTGCCCCTGACAAAAACGTAGCATCGTGTCCTGGTTGCTCTATCATCATCCAGAAAGGCGCTCTGATGCAGTTATGATGTTTGTCCCGAGCTATGGGGTTAAACACTGGAATGAGGTCACTCATGTGTAGGAGGCAGTCTCAGTTGGTGGCCTAATGCAGTGAGGCAGAATGGCAAATCCATCATTTTACTTTTAAAGTTGTAAATTCAGCTGCTCTCAGACTTGTCTATGAATTTGGTGAGATGCAAGCATTTGTTCACAGAACATAGTGCCTCAATTTTATGCATACAAAGTAATGCAAATGTGAAATATTTTATGTCCCACTGTAAAAAGTGGTAAGACTTGACATCAAGGAATGGACAGATTATGACACTTAGTTGGAATTAGAAAGTTAATCTCCTTATAAACACTCCACACCACATTCTTAGGATTGCTGTAATTTTGTACATTGCGCAAATATTGCCTTCTGGAAAAAAAAATTCTAAAAAGAGTTTAAACAATTTGGTGTGCCCATAAAGATGTCAACAGATAAGAATCTATCAGATTCCACATTATCTTGATGATAAACTTGGTTTTACTAACTCATTCTCATTTTAGCACTACGGGGTTATACCAAGTGGTGAACTTGCCATGTTAAGTGCTACAATATCACCTTCCTAAATTGATGCCTGAAATTTTAAATGCGACAGACATTTGTGTTCCTTAATGTGGTAGTTGATTACTTTGTGATGAAGTGAAAAGCTACATATCAATATAACCTTCAGGGCAATTTTAAGAGATTTCTTTTTCCCCTTACAAACAGCCTGACATTGACAGAGTGGGCTTTCAGGTACACAGCTGGTGACAGGTTTGCAACTCATCCAAATTGGGTCTATTTTGAAAGACATGATATTGGAAAGACTTCTCTAGTCTTTCTCCTCAATTATACATTAATTATAAATAGTCATATGGCTGGTTATGAGAACACACACACACAGTTCATTTTCTTGTCAGTTGTGTATCTATGAGCATGATCTCTGGACCAGATTGCTGGGGTCTGAATCCTAGCTTCATCACTCACTAATGTATGAACTTCAGCAATTTACTTAACTCTGTGCTTCAGATTCCTTATCTGTAAAGGTGATGATGATGATAATGATGATGATAATAATAATAATAAAATAAACATTTCATAGGATGCTGACAGAGTGACATGAGCTAATACAGGTAAAATGCTTAGGACATGCCTAGTACGTAACACATACTCAATAAGCATTAGCTTTTCTTAATATTTGCTTTTGTTCTGCCCGCTCTGACACCACCATATGTCTTTTGCCTTATAACTTTCTACAGTATAGGAGTGAAATAATTATTGTTAATGACCTTAAGTATGACCAGCTTTCTGCAATATTACTAAGAAAAAAAGAACTATCTAAATTTGGATAGGTTCACATTTATTTCCTTGGTCCCGCTGTTATGCTATAAGATCCTAGACTATTAAAACAATGCAGACCCTTTTTTAAACATCCACTTTGAATTGTTTCTAGAGTAATGATGATAAAGGTAAATGAATAATGCAATCCAATGTAAATTCAGTTGGAGTTAAGTATTCATACAAAATACCTTTATAGAGCCACAAGGTCACTTTTAAGAAAATAGCGTCAAGAAGACTCTCTTCCTTTTACAGGTTCAAAGGGTAGAAAGGTACCATTTCCAGGAGGGCATGCCAGGGTCTTTTTTTCTCAGTGTTGAAGTATTATAATCAATCGTTCCTCTGGATTCTCAAAGCAAGAGGACTTGATGTTCAGATACATATGGTTTGGCTCAAGGACAAAGACCTTTTTTTGGGGTAGTCTGGGAATATTCAGTAATTTTTCGAGTGGAGGGTAATATGCAGAATTATTCATTTAAATGACGTCCTTTATCAGAAACCTGGGATAGGAGGACTTAATCATGAAATCCCTTTCACCTTCTTTACCCTCTTTATAAATCTTTTCTAAAATACCTGTGGAAAAGGCTATTTGTAGAAAAATCCTTCAAGAGCAACTTCTAGGACAGTGTTTCAAAAATAAAGAATATTTATTCAGTTTTTCAATCCAAAGATGATTAAAAACAACCCAAAACTTAAATCATGATCTCCCCATCTATTTACCCACTAATAAACTGTACAGAACTGTACAAAATGAAAAGTGAAAGGATTCTCACTTGCCCTTCTTCTCTCCAATATTCCATGATAAAAAAGCATATACCCTAAAAGAGGTATCTAATTATAGACATATACACATTTTTTGCACAAAAGCCATTATGCTACTCTGCACCTTGCCTTTTTCTTTTAATAGTGTATAGGGGAGAATTTTAGTACCTAGCAGTTCTAACCATATAAATTATGGCTTTACAATAAAGGAGAATAAAAACTCCAGGACCCTGATGAAAATGATATTAAAAAAAAAAACTATGTCTGCTCTTTCATGATGTGCCTCATTTTGAGAATAAAACAACAGATTTTTGAGGTAGCTGCTTGAGCTATAGGACATGAGTCCAAAAATAATGGACATTCAAGTCATAAGCTTTGCCTTTATTGACGTCAGTTTTATTCCAGTGGGATAGTAATAAGAGAATGTCCAAAGTGGTGCTCACATTTGGTATTTCCTGTCCTGAAGCATCTCCTTCTTTGAAGATACAGAAATTTCTAAATCAAGCAACATATGCCAATGGTTTTAAAAATGTCTGCCAAATGAAGGCTCTAATTTTGCACACAACTCCATTGTCCAGAATAACAAATGTGGAGGAGTATGCGGTCTTGGAGAAGAGAATTTACCTCTGGAAATATTCCCCACAGAAGCATAAAGTGAGGAAATGAGAACTGGATAAATTCTCTGCAGTGCAGCCTAGCATGGCAAATTAGAGCTGCTTCTTGCCCCAGCCCCTCCTATATGAAAAGAGGGATCAGTACCAAAGAACTAAAAGAAAAAATAATGAGTTTGGAAACTTTCAGTTGACTGACTGGACAAAGAGAAGCTCTGAACAATATATGGGATGGGTCCGGGATTCAAGGACACCTGATGTAAGCAGAGTTTTCTGAGAGTGAGCTAGTATTTGCACTCTGACTTCCTGAAAAGCCAAAGCCCTTGGGAGGTTGGTGTGTTGGCACAAATGGGTGGTGAGTTTTTAAGTCAGTAATACATCTCATGTGGAAAATTTGAGGCTACAGTGACTGAGTGTGTCTGGCCGTTGGTAGCTGGAGTGTGGGGATTTACAGAATGCATGGTTTGCAGGGGTCTCTGTTCACCAGGAGAAGCACAGTGGCCTTCTTGTACAATTGATTTTCATTTCAGAAAGACTTAAAATAACATTAAGATTTTGACTAATGGCAGCAGAATCAAAGCAAGTTAGGAACTTTTAGTATATTGCACCTTGATGAACTCATCCTTTACTGCCTAGATTATCACGATTCCAAAGTGAACTAGCTTCTCCATGGACACAGATCCAGTGGTAAATGCAGACTATATTCGCTTATTCATTCTGTCTTAATTCAACCTTCTTAGACTAGAGAAATATTTGCAAAGAACAAGCTATAGAATAGATATCATTAGCACTTTCATCTTTTTATTGGAAATTGTGCCATAGCCTCTACCAAACAGGAAAGCATAAATAATATTTATGTATAACAATAAAATGCCTCTTTTCTGCATTTTATACCTTTTTATACCTGCAAGCAGGGCTTTGGGATGTGGTATTTCTGTGCCTGTTTGATTTTTAAATATTAAGTCAATAAGAAGTGCTGAATCAAGCGTTCATATTCTCGTCTCTAAAAACTTTAATTGATTCAAGTTCACGGACCCGTGATTGAAATTTTCTTTGATCTTTTAATTGGTAATATAAAATTCACAAAGTTGATTTTTAGTCCTATGTGCTTTATTGCTTCCTAGCTGGTATTAGTTAATTAATTTAAGTTCCTTTATTTTAGAATTTTAAAGAATTGGAACAGAGATGAGCTAAAATTTACTACCTACAAAAGGAGTTTGTTAGCAAACTAATACTATAAACATCATAGGGGAAAATGTTTAGCATAGCTAAGAGAATCTTAAATTTTAAGGATTTCAGAAGCTTCCCTTTATGTAAAAAATTTAATATGTTGATTGATTAGTATTTATATCCATTCCTTCAAGTATAGCTAGAGACTCTAATTTGATATAATATCCTGGCGGTACTTATTAAATTCAGTATGACAGTATATTCTGAATTTTAAAATAGTAAGACTATATGTTTTATATTTATTTTGTGATTGAATAGTTTTATTATTTTCCCCATCAATCCAATTAATGAGACTATTAATAGTATACGGAACACAGTTAAAGAACAGGATCATGCATTTCTATATATTACTCAATTATGAACAACCGGCTACACTGTTCATTTTTGTGTATTTAGACACATTTTTTTTTTATTTCTTTTTCCTCCTATCATCTGTTCCTAAACACTTCATGACTTGTATGCTGGCCAGCACAGGGGGGAGGAGGAGAAAGCCAACAGGCTCCTATCAGCTAGGATGAGGAAGGTAACATACGCAAATAGGAAGCAGCATCTGAAAAGAATTTTATTTTTTAAGCCAAATAGAGAAGCTCCAGTGAGTTGAAGTATCTTGCTTTTGTGAGGTCAGTTATGACTAGTTAGTTATTAAGCAAACAGAATTCCTATTTTCGTCATTCTTTGATGACACGGTCTCAAAAGCCTTGGATATGGATGCATCTTACTCTTCTTATCATCCTTACACAGTATGTTCATTCTCTGCCTTCCTTTTTTATTTTATGGGTGGATTTCCTTCATTGCTAGACATACTCATTTAGGCACCTAGCATCTCATGTCTTCAGGGAACAGCTTTCTAACCGATCCTCAAGTCATCCTCAACACTGACACGGGATTCATCTTCCTCAAGGGCCATTCCGAGTATGCCATCATTTTGGGCACAATGGCTTCCCACTGGCTCTGTTGTCCTATAGGACAGAAGAGCAATTCCTTAGAGCACTCAATTCCTTAGAGCACTCAGGCCCTGATCAATCTGACTCTACTCTGACTTTCTCTCTGTATCTCTCATGATTTCCCAGGGATCCCCGACTCTATCCAGGTAGATCTGATTCCTCTCCGAACAGGTCTTGCTCATGTCTTTTCATAAACTCCAGGAACTTCCCTAGTTCTGCATTCTTTCTTCATGACTGCTCCCCATCCGTACCCTCCCCCACTTTCTGTTGTTTCATTTGAGCAGACTCCATTTGTAGACCTAGGTCAAATATCAACCTTGCAGAGAACTTTCCTTTACCACATCCCCATCTCCCAGTAATCATGTCCTCCATAGAGTTATCATCACAGTATAAGCCATGGATATAATAAAGTGCCAACGAATGCTTACTTAGTCTGTTACATATATATCTTGTTTCCCCAACGAGACGGTGAGGTCCGAGACCATGGATTTTCTTATATTACTACTTGTCAAAGTGCCTAGTATATGAGAAATGACCAGGCAACACTGATTTAACAAGGATGAATATCAGTATAAAGCCCAAACAGCATATTTTACATGCATGGTGCATAAAGGAAATGCAGGAGCTCAAATTTAGCCAGGATAAAGTACAGAGGAGAAAGGTTAAGGAGGATCATGAGAGAGGGATTACAATGAGTATCACTGCCAGACACCATGAGTTAGTACATAATGAGCTCATATTAGGAAAGTATTGTTAATAATAATGGATCTCTAACCTCTAATCAATGTAGTTTTTTTTCCCAGAGAGAGAGAGATTATAGCTCTAAGTAATTTGTCAAATGATTGTGAAATGAATCTAGCTTTCTGTATACCCAGAGAATTATTCCACAGAAACCCAGCCATTTGGACACATAAAAGCTGGCTGTGAGGTGTACTGCAATGAACACACTTTTTAGAGTGGTTCAAATCTCCACTCCCCATTCCTTAGTTATGTGTCTTGGGGAAGAAAAGGCTTCCCCAAGGCTTCCTTGAGCCTCAATGACCTCATCTGTAATCCCAAAGGACTATTGTGTGGATCTGCAATAAAGTATATAAAATATCTGGCACTGAGCCTGGCATGTAATAGGCTGGTTTGTTAAAAGGTGGCTGCTTTGATAGTTCCTTCTGTACTGCCTCCAGCATTTTCACATTTAGGTGGTATACACACTTGTTTGTCTTTCCTCTTTTCTCCATAGTTGCCAAGAAGGCAAGGCCAGAAAAATTTTGATATTCTGCTGTGGGTTCTAATAGCAGAGCTTTGCATGCTCAGCAGTCTGGAGAAATTTAGTATTAATCTCAGCATGTGACTGAGCTATTAGCTGATAGCACAAGATCAATAGAGGATCTCAGGGAAAGGTCATGGGGCCGTGCCTGGCCATATTGATATGCAACAGCTACTCATCTTCCAGTAGAACTTTGTTTCTTATTTCCTAGTTGTCAATCTCTACAACGTGGTTTCAGTGGGTAATGCTGATGTATTCATCTCAAGGATTCACATACGCTATCGCTAATTTTTCTGATATCATTTCATTAGATACTTTCCTAGCCAAACTAGATCTAGCAGGCCCAATATGTCTTGCCATTTTGGTGAACTTCACTTTAAAATATATTGGTTTTTTACCCCTTTATTGTTGTCCTGGGGAAAGTTTTTCAGTCAAAAGTGTCTATACACAAGCTTTTATTATGCCTTCTCTAGCTAAGTATACATAGCAAATAGAATCTGAAAAACTTCTGAACCTACCTATTTGCTTGAACTGTAGTTCACCCTTAGCTTTGAAGAAAGTCTTTTCCTTCATAATACTGTCCATGCAAACATGACTTCTTAAAACTCAAATCTAGTAACTCTCTCAACTTGGGAAATTATAAACTACAGCAGCGATGAATTTACCAGGAAGTTAACAAAGCCTTAGTGTTCCTTTGTATGGGTTCCTGGTAAGACCAGCCAGGTCTCAGGGAACATGATTACATGATCTTGGCAAATATTTTTAGATTCTTTTTCTTAAACAGAATCCTTGAAACTGAATAAGCTTTAGGTCCAATAAACCAGGTTCTGTCCCAATTATTGGTCAAACTAAATTTGTCCTAAACTCTCCTACTCTGCTTCAGATTTGGTTCTGTTCAATATGGCTTAGATTATGTGAGCCAGTAACAAGTTTAGAAGTATTTTTTGTTATATGGACAGGTTCATTATAGTAATTTTTTGTGACGAAATTTATTTTATTAACTAACTTGAAAATAGCTTTTCACATTATATTGCATAATGTTATTTGCAATATGCTACTTAAATAATGGTTCATTTAAGCAGTTTTAATTCCTTAGATGTTCTGTGATACAGAGTTTCCTCTCTCATGATGAAATGCTCTTAGGAAACAATGTCAGAGAATCACATCAAAATGTAAAAAGGACATTTGGAAACATACAGTAACCTTTCAGCAAAATGCTTACCTATGTCTAAAATCTTTATTTCTTGGTGGAAGCAGATAAAAAAGGTGGGAAAAAAAGAGTACAGTTAGAAAAAGTTTTTAAGATATAATGACTTGCATGCGGAGATTTTAATTATTTGAATGGAAAATTGCCAACTTAAGCAGAAATAACACTGGAAATGAATTTTGTAGGCCAAGGCTTATCAAATAATTTACAGAATAGGATGATTTTAATAATTGCACTTAAATGAACAAAGCAAAGCAACAATTTGTTACTTTAACTATTGGTATTATGGCTAATGGATAACCCCAACTTGAAGATCCAATATTCTAATGGAAAGTTATAGCCTTAGTTCATTTACTATTATGTCTGGATATTGTAGGGAAATATTTTATCTCTTAATTTCAACCAATATGCAATAAAAGAATAACAACCTATATCATGAGGCAATTTTAAGACAACTAAAGGTATTTAAAAATCATAGTTCTGGCCTACTGGAGCAGAGAAATTGCCCTGGAATCAGTGACATTGTGTATGTTGGCTGACTATAGATTCTTTTATATATTTATGGTACAGCGTATATGTATTGTGCTTTTCCCAACTTTAACCAAGAATCTAATCTCTTTTCAGGGAGAATTTTAAACACTGGGAATTATACTTACATAAATAAAATGTTACATTAGACTAAATGTTACATAAAGACTGAACTCTTTTAATAAAGACATGCTTAGCTTCGGTAAAAATCCCAAATTAAGGGAGTGCCTGGATGGCTCAGTTGGTAGAGCATGCAACTCTTGATCTTGGGGTTGTAAGTTTGAGCCCCATGTTGGGTGCAGAGATTACTTAAAAATAAAATCTTAAAAAAAAAAAAAAAAGCCCAAATTAAGGAAAGACATACCTTAGTTCTAAAACACTCGTTACGTTTCCAGAAGGGAATATTCGCCGAACATAGTTGAAATCCCCTACATATAGACTGCCATCGATCCCGCAAGCTAATGCAACGGGGGCCAGCAGTTTATTACCATCAGCCTGGCCATTGCAACTTGGGCATGAGATGCTGCGCCTTCGGCCGTTGCCCATGATGCTACTGACAACAGGAGGCTGTTGGGAGATGAATTGGTTTTCCCCATTTCCCTTGTACAGTATACCTAGAAGACATAAAATGCATTTTTCTTGTGATTAAAAGGTAGAAAGATGAAAAGTAAATATGTTTGCTCTAGATTTAACTAAAATTCAGTGCTTTGTAGATACAGCCTGGAAAAACTTACTTCAAATTCTCTTGGAAAGAACAAGAACTCTAACTCTATTCATTTACCTGGTGTAAAATGTTATTTGGCAAAATACAAAGGATATGCCAAAAATGCTGTCTGTTATGAATGTAAGGGAAGGAATAACCAGAAAAATTAAGAGCCCAAATTGTCAATATCGGTAATTCTCAAACTTGGTTACACATTGTAATTGACTGGTGGAGCTGTAAAAAAATAGTAATGCTTGGATCTTATCCTGAAAGATTCTGACTTAATTGGTCTGGGGGACAGACTTGTAAAAAAAAAAAAAAAAAAAAAAACTCTCCAGATAGGGCACTTGGGTGGCTCGGGTCCTGATCCTGATGCCCTGGATCAAGCCTCTGTCTGGCTCCCTGCTCAGCAGGGAGTCTACTTCTCCTTCTCCCTCTGCTCCTTCCCGCCGCTTGTGTGCTCTCTCTCTCTCTCTCAAATAAAAAAAAAAAAAAAAAAAAAAAAAAAAAAAAAGTCTCCAGATGACCCTAATGTGCAACCAAGTTTGAGAACCATGCTCTACATATTCTTTAGGGGATAACAAGTTTCCTTAATTGCTAAATGTGGCTAAAATACATTAATCCAATCCATAAGTATGTGTGCCACAAATATGAATTTCTCCCTTACGAGTTTATCACTAATCTTGAAAATGTGAAAACTACTTTATGGAAAATAAAATTAGAAAATAAATATTAAACCCCTTACATCCTACTATCCTGTCAAAGAACATTTTTCTTGGTTATAATCTTATCTGACATGAGGATGTACACACACACAATTATTCAAAATTCCAAACATAACAAAACTGTTATGGAAGGGCAATTAATTATTTAAAGAGAATTATGCTTTAAGGCATGAAAGTGCCAATAATTTTAAAAGTTTTTTTTTAATTAATTATTTATTTATTTATGATAGTCACACAGAGAGAGAGAGAGAGAGAGAGGGGCAGAGACACAGGCAGAGGGAGAAGCAGGCTCCATGCACCGGGAGCCCGACGTGGGATTCGATCCCGGGTCTCCAGGATCGCGCCCTGGGCCAAAGGCAGGCGCCAAACCGCTGCGCCACCCAGGGATCCCTGAAAGTGCCAATAATTTTAAGACAAAATGCCAGTCTGCTCCATTATGATCTTCAATGAAAGGCTGAGAAAAAAAATCCCAATGAATATTATATGTTTTCATAGTTAGAAACTAGGTAGGAGTTGCAATTCTAATTTTATTCATTTGCCATTATTATATTGAGCAGATCAATGGTTTCATTTGGTCTGAGGTACACTGGATGGTCAGCTGTGATTGTCCCATCCATATTTCATGACACTCCTCAGAGTCATTATCTATATAAACCACCTGCTGCTTTGACTTTGGAGTTGTACGTATTATATACCTATTGAATGTTTTCTACTTCAAAGCAGTTCTTTAAGCCAATCGTTATACTTTTTCACAGATATACTGTTAAAAGAATCAGCGCATGAAAGTACAAACAGGAAACCCAGGAAAGTGTTTTTTCCTCCCACTTTGGGATAATTTTAAAGTGAAGAAGAGATCAGAATAATTATGTTCCTCTTATAGCACAGCACATTTTTAGGTGGATTCTATGATTCCTTTTTAAATGCTTTTTGAGTGATGTAATAATCACAGAAAATTTACAAGAAGATATCAGGAAAGATAAAAAAGGTTTATTGAAATTTAAGGAAAAATAACCCAAATAAGCCTGGATTCTCACAACATGTGAAAAGCCCTTTGCCTTGAATATTCAAAGAATACATTAATGATATCAAACAGATTCTTCTTTCTGTGGTTACATTATTTGACAATTAGGGAACTATATTTTCCTGTAGAGCCAGGTCTGTAAGTTTCACTGGAAGAATCCTACAAGCCAGCCTAGTGCTCTGCTGAGACTGATTTATTCAGTCATTACTTTAAACGACTGGTCCTTCATGATTCTCCTCTATTATGACAGAAAAGATGAAGATTAGAATATTTACTTCCACATTCCAGGTCTGCAAACACCTGTCACTGTCTTCATTTGGCCTTCTCTTCTTTTTTAATACATTTCATAGCTCATCTACCTTGTCATGATTACAAATCACTTTGCTTATTCAATTAGACACATGTCACTTTGAGAAGCCACTACTTGTCAAATTGTTTTCAGATACAATTTGAAATCACAATCAGTTTTCCCTGTGAATTAGGTTACCTCGGTTTTTAAAACACTATATATTTTATAATTTATAGCATTTTTTTTTTGGAGAACAGAATTTTGGGTAGCCCAGTTTTTACTGATCTTTTAATGAAAGTGAACTATATATTATTCTGGTAGAGAAAGCATGTGTGTGTGTTTTTTTATTATATATATATATATATATATATATATATATATATATAAAATACCTACAAATTTTTCAAATCCACCTGAATACTGTACTCAGTGTTGGGGATCATAATGGTATAATTCAACATTGTTATGATATGGGCTTTATGGTATGGGCTTTCTTGAAGTTTTTTGCTTGTAGACCCCCTACTGGTTCATAACCTCTTGGTGAAATGCTGGGGCTAATCAGTTATGAACTTTAACCTATATGCTCATGATAATAATATGCTCCTGGAGAAGACCCTTCAATTTTGTTATAAAGAACTTCTGAAGGAATCTAGCAATATGTCAAATTGTGTGAAATATAATTTCACATAACTTTTTAAAAGATTTTATGTATATGAGAGAGAGAGACAGTGAGAGAAAGCATGAGCAGCGAGGAGGAGAGGGAGAAGCAGGCTCCCCACTCAGCAGGGACTGATCCCAGGACCCTGGGATCATGACCTGAGCCAAAGGCAGACTCTTAACCCACTGAGCCACCCAGGCACTCCAATTTCACATAACTTAATCAAGAGCAGCCATGAGCACATTTGGCACGTGGCTTGCATTTTGAAAGACTACAACTAAGCCTTGTGTTACTAGCATGACAGACCGAAATACCACTGCTTCAGACACCTCGGACGATTAGGGATAACATACGGAGCATCCTTCATGGTTGGATGCCTCATTTCTCCAAAGCGCGTGATGCACATGGCACTAGCTATCGGCTCTGCTCCCAGCCTTCTGGGGTGCTAAGTGAATGGCAATCTGATGTCCAGGATACAGTTGGAACAGGGACAGAGCTCCACACTGCTGTAAAGCGGGAAAGGTATGGAGGGTTTTTCTGTTTTGTTTTTCCTCTTACTACTGATTTGCTCAGTACTATTTTCTTTTAGAGGGAAGGCACTGGCATTCTCAAGTACTGGGTTGGACACAACTTAGATTTAGTACATTTGAAAGTTTAAAATGGGGATGCCCGGGTGGCCCAGCAGTTTAGTGCCTCCCTTCGGCCCAGGCCGTGACCCTGGAGACTTGGGATTGAGTCCCACATCAGGCTCCCTGGATGGAGCCTGCTTCTCCCTCTGCCTGTGTCTCTGCCTCTCTCTCTGTGTCTCTCATGAATAAATGAATAAAATATATTTAAAAAATGAAAGTTTAAAATGCACCCTTTCCAGTTCCAACATTTTTTTCAAATAAAAAGGAACAAATATGAAAGTGACATTAATCTGAAAAAGTGACCATTACTCATAAACATTTAGCTGTATGACATGATCCATTCAAAATTCTGAACCTTCCAAAAACCTTTGCAAAGTCAAAGCTAGATGATTTGCCAAGACTGTGAAATATCCTTCTCTGGCTATTTGGAAAGGGAGTGTAGAGAGTTACTAGCATGATATGGTTTAGGACAGGTGGCTAGAGTAGTAAGTCACCTTAAGGTTTTGCTTTTCTAGAAAAGTACCTATAGATGATCTAAGATGTAGCCAGCACATGGGCACAATGTTAGACACACAGTGAGGAGAACAGCTTGTTTAAAATAAATAATATTCCTTATGAGATTTAAGCATGTCAAATTTTATAAAATAATTTATGTCTGTGAGATCCAAAATATGCACTTTCAGAGCATATTCATTTATAGTATAAGGTTTACTATAAATAATTACTCTAAATTCTTGTTTTTTTCTCAGATTATTCATTTATTTTTTCCTAATATTTAAAAAATCAGGTGAGAGTATATCTAACTCAATTTGTGCAGAAGAACAATTTTTTTCTCACAATCTAAGAAGAACTGAAAAAAATCTACATGCTAGAATAGACTAGCCACTTAAAGATTAAGATCTGCTATAAATATTTTGGTAAAGTTACATGGATTTTTTTTTCTTTACTTTCAAAAAAGTTCCCCTCCCTCTACTTTTGATAAATCTTCCTAAAGCACTCTGGATCAAATCATGGACTTACTATAGAATTAGATACTCCTAGATGAATCTGTGGTGAAGACTATCACATAGAGTACTTTATAATCCATCACCAAAATAATTTAAATGGGAGAAGTATTTTGGTGATGGATTTATGAATGATTCAAAGGCCACAAGAAGAATATTAGGTAGTTCTCACTTCAGACTTCTATAGTCTTTAAAAGATATAGCTTTATTTTTTTCTACTAATTCTAATCCTACAGCATGCTTAGGATAAAATGTTGCCACAACTGAATCAATTTGAAGGTAAGTGATATTAAGTGTGAACAAGATCTTACCATTCTGAACATCCAACACATGATGTTTATCTAATGTCCAACCACCCATGTTGGAAGCATCTAATTCATAGCCTTGCAAAATGGCAGTCCTCTTTTCCCACAGAGTCAAGTCCAGACACGACTCGTATTCATATCCAACTGACACTGGAATCAAGAGAAATTACAGTTCAATTTCTCAACCACAGGCAGAAATGCAATTTATTCTATCATTTTGATAAAACTGCTTTTTTTCCACAATTGTATTCTAAGACTATATTTCCACTCGTTTATGTGTAGTTTACTTTTCTATGAGAAGATCTGACCACATAAAAGGTGTTTTTCAATGAAACAATCTTCAATATTATTTTTCTGTTGATTTCATGGGAAACTAGTATTTTTTCCCTCACACCACTTTTTCACAAGGGGTTCACAGCACAAAATGAAGACCAGATTGGGCACCTGGTTAAGTAATTAGATCAGATAAATCAGCCTCAGGTGGTGATCAGATGGTAACCAAAATAATATTTGTTATCTGAATAATTAGAACTGTTTAGTTTCCAAGAGTATTAAATTGTGGAAAATATTTACGATAAGTAAGGTTCAATTCAGCAAAGAAGACAGTCTGATTACAACATTATGTTCACATGTTACTATCAGGACTGAACGAAAACACGAGCAGTAAATGACTGTGAACAAATCACAAATGAAAAGGGTCCCAGTCACAATGAAACATGGGTTTTAAGATTTAGAACAAAGTAAAGGGAGAAGTGGCAATTATCTGACTGATCTGAATGAATTCAAGCCCAAGTTTATATTAATTTCAGAATAAAATGTCTATGATATTCTCAGGTGAAACCTAATGGAACCAAAAAGGATTAGTTTTTGCTGTTCTTGGCCTGATCATGAAGCTCTAGCGTATGTATCTCAACATGCCAATCTTCGATCTCACTGTGCCATCACTCAGTGAAATAACGGGCTTAACTGATGTTTTAAGAATGTCAGTCCACTGAGTTGACTCCTGCTCAAAAGAGCTGAAATAATTTTTGGACATAAATATTGTCTGGATCCTTTTAAATATCATTATGAAACTACCCTAATTGTTAGATACAGAAAACATAAAAAAAGGATAAGGAAAACTAAGGAGATTAAAGTTAGAAAGAACAAAAAACAAATGCAAGAAGGAAGGAGAATAGTAAGGAAAAAGAACATGAAGGAAAGGATAGGACAACCTGGAATCTCATTCAGAACATTTTGGAAGATATAATTTCAGCCAGAAAAGAAGGGATATTTGCTTCTCATCATATGGAATATATTCCCTTGTCCCATGGTAGGTCTCAATCAACCAGCTTATAACTCCCCAACGCCAACCTTACTGCTTTCCTCTCTGTTTGTCCACAGATTTCCATGGTGACAATCAATTTCATGTTAGTTCTGACTTCAAGACAATTTTTTCTGGATGCAGAATAGACCAGTATAGAACTTACCAACAGCTTCCGATAGACCATAGACCTTCTGGTTATATGCATCTGTTTTATCCCATATAAAAGTATAGGCCAGGTTTGGCGAGGCAGGAAACCACTTCTGAAACAGTCTTCCTACCACAGCCACCATGAGGTGAACCTTCATTAAATTAAATGGTATGACAGACTGGGTCATGGTGATCTTAAGAACTGACTTATATCCTGCAGCTCTGGAGCTCAGGTAGGAAAGTTTCAAATCTGTTCCCGGAATTGTAGTTTCTTCATGGAGTACCTAGGTTTGAATAAAGCGGAAACTTCAAACTGTGATCACAGATAACTAGCTATTAGGTAAAACAGATTTAAAAGAACTGAATATTGCAACTAAAATAAGACACCAAAGAGTCACTAATCCCAAATACACATCTGAGCGGTTACTTTATTCAATAATTAAAAATAACTCTGCTGCCAGCCTAATTTTTTTCCTCCTAAAAGCTTCTTGTCATTCATTCTGAGTTAATCACACCTCAGGTGCTACTCCTCATACAGGAGACACAGTGACTGCTCCATCAGGCTGACATGCACTGACTTGTTGGCTCATAGTCACAGCCGATTCTCGCTAACCCATCTTTCACCCCTGTCGCCCTGGAGAATGAAAGCAGACATTTCTAAGATGGTTAGTTCAGAGCAGGGATGTGGTCCAGGCCAAAGATCTGGCCTACACCAGCTGGCTCATTTAGGGATTAAGCCCTTGCCTATGGCCTTGGCAGCTGACTGGTCACAGCCTAGAAAGATGGGAGTGATTAACAAAAAAGACCAATTCATTTGGATTAAATCATAGTGAATTCTGTATCCATGTTGAAAGGCAACAGAACAACAGCATATTTGTCATAATTAGTTAAACACTGAGCTAGGACTCACCACTGATTTTTGATATGATGGTAGATGCAGTAATATTTCAGAGCTGCATAAATCCTCCCTGGGAGAACAACTAGTGTGTTATTGAACACACATGCAAGACACTCAATGCACACTTTCTGAATTGAAGCTGGACTGTAAAAAGTTAAAATAATGGTCTGCCTAAGAACAATCTCCTTTATAGATTTTTAAAAATCATATTCTTAGCCCCACAATTTATCCATCAATGTGACCAGGTCAACAAATGCCAAAAAATTTATACTGACATACACCAAGTATATTATGCCAAAACATTACTTATTTTGAAAAATATATTTTATGTGGTGTATAAGATCTTTCTAGACAGTGCAGATGCTAATAACCAAGCTCCTACTAGTTGGGTTAACAATGGTAGCTCTTGATAGGTTTACTACAATACATATACTGCAAAGTGCAAGGCTATCTCTACTCAAGAATCTGCATCAGGAAGTCACTGTTTTGTCTTCTAAGAATTCAATAACATTCTCAAAGATTTCCTCATGTTGCCCTGTTGAGATTCATTCTTCAGACATAAAGGATCACTTATTGTGTTAGAAAAATCATAGCATAGCGATCCAGTGGTCAGCAGGATCAAGCTCCTCTGGCACAGAACAGTTAGGATTGATGCCTATCTGTCATCTCCAAATTATAATGACTTAAGTAGAACCCACGATAGTGAGGTTGTAGTGGTCAGTTTAAGTAAGTAGGACACAAGAATGGGTTGAGGAAACCTCCATTCTGGCCTGTGAGCCAATGTTGGCATCAAGAGTGATGCAATGCAGTACAGTGGAGTAAGAAGACATTGTTCTGCTCTCACAGCACCTATTTACCACAGGGAGTGGGGTTTCTTATCAAACATGCCCATTGATTTCAGCCATACACTGTCTCAAGCAAAACAGTTTATGGACATATAGAAACTTTCTAGAGCTGTTAGACTCGGGGAGAACATTACATTTAAGATTGACAGCACTTTTGTGTGGCTGTAGGCTACAGGGTGAATAATCTAAATACAACTCATTGTTCTTCCATCATTGGGGTGAAATATCAGTGGGTTCGCTTGAAAAATGGATTCCGTGACTCTTGAATGGCCCTGAAAATGTAAGTGATGGAACCCTAAGGCATATAATTTGTTTCCTCTTAATTTGTTTTCAAAATGAATTCTCACAAATCTGATAGGTTTTCTTTTTTATTTATTTATTTATTTATTTATTTATTTATTTATTTATTTATTTATTTATGATAGTCACAGAGAGAGAGAGAGAGAGAGAGAGAGAGAGAGAGAGAGAGGCAGAGACACAGGCAGAGGGAGAAGCAGGCTCCATGCACCGGGAGCCTGACGTGGGATTCGATCCCGGGTCTCCAGGATCGCGCCCTGGGCCAAAGGCAGGCGCCAAACCGCTGCGCCACCCAGGGATCCCTCTGATAGGTTTTCTATATGTAATACAGTCTTTCATTAATTAAATATATACTCCCTGCCATCTGGTAGGGGCTCCTTCTCTAATAAAATATTACATGTTATTCCCAATTTTAATAACAGATTATTGTCTTTGTCATCATTAACCTACTTCCATGGAACAAATATCTGTAATTTTGTTCATTAAAACATGTGTTTCTCCTATGTAATTTAACTTGACCATGTTATTTTGCATTAGTGGGGAAAGTAAATCCAGCCAGAGTGGAAAAATAAACCATTAAGCTTATTTTTTTGCCAGCTGCGTGATTTATAAGCCCCATTCTTCAGCCCATTGAATATTCAGTTAGAAACTACAATTAAAAATATAATGACATAAAAAAATAAAGGCTTTCTTTGATTTTGTTGTTTTTGTTTTGTTTTATGATAAGTTGATAAATATTTTATAATAAATAAGGTTACATATTCTGTTAAAGAAAAAGTACATCCTTCCAAATCTTGGTCTGATCTGTTTCCTCTCCTCCACTTCCACCACCACTGTGAGTGTTGCACCCTCCCCATCTCAGTGCTGGATATGTATGGAAATATGGTGAACACTAGTCAGTTCACTAATTTATCTGTCTTCTACCAATTACACATTTTGCCACTTGAGTTAGCTTTAGAGAAATCTGAAAAGATGCCATTGGCCCCCTGGTTCCATATTGCCTAAAGAATTCAAGGTCTCCATTGTATGGTATTTGGGGCCATTCATAATCTGGCCCTAACCTTTTCTCTTATATGCCCTATGTTTAAGTAGTTCACCAGTTTTAATATGACATCATATGTTTTTACCACCATGTAGTGGCTCACACATTTTCTTCAGTCTGGAATATCCTTTCCCCACTTTGAAGGCCAACCTCAGTGATGCTTTTCTGGCTTCTTTAGGAATAGACCTCTCTTTTGAACTCTCAGACTTCTTCCTTTAAATCTTGATCACATTTAGAATGGTGGGAATCCATGTCTTATTATTCTTTTTTATCTAGTAGAGTATCTCATACATAATAGGCTCTCAGTAAATTTCTACTAAATGTTTGCAGATGGGATCCCTGGGTGGCGCAGCAGTTTGGCGCCTGCCTTTGGCCCGGGGCGCAATCCTGGAGACCCGGGGTTGAATCCCATGTCAGGCTCCCTGCATGGAGCCTGCTTCTCCCTCTGCCTGTGTCTCTGCCTCTCTGTCTCTCTCTGTGTGACTGTCATGAATGAATAAATAAAATCTTAAAAAAAAAAAAAAAAAAATAAATAAATAAATAAATGTTTGCAGACTGTTTGAGGGACCGGGAAAAAAAAAACCCTTCGTGTATTCCTACAATTGTTGACAACTTGAAATCCATTTCAATGACTCAGTTTGCTAAATATTTGCCACCTATAGACAGACAGACAGACACTGCTTCAAGGTTAAATCTATTTAAGGACTGGCTAAGAAATTCAGAGTTACTGCAAGATGGCCCCTGGGAAGGAAGTACTATGTTGCATAAGATTACAATGAATTTCCAAAAGCTTCAGCTCAAAGCTGGCTTGGCTGTTATGCAGTAAATCATTGACATGTCTCTTCTGCATTACATTTGCCTGTGAGAGTTCTTATCTGTTATCCTAGACCTTCTCAGCTTATCTCCTCTGCCCTCTAGCTGCACTTCCTCCCTAGGGGATCTCATCCTATGCTTGATGTTTATCTTTATCACTGATGACCCCAAGTTTACATTTTACTTCCATCTTCTCCCCTGGACTCCACTTCTTACCACTTCCACCTCCACTACCTTTGTCCAAGCCACCAGCATCTCTCCTACTACTGAGACTCTCTCCTACCTGGTCTCCTTTGTTGCAACATTTGCCTAATATAGACCATTCTTAGTGTAGCAACTGTAGTGATCCTTTTAAGAAGGAAATGAGTAGGGGCACCTGGGTGGCTCAGTTGCTTAAGTGTTCATCTCTTGGTTTAGGCTCAGGTCATGATCTCAGGTTGTGGGATGGAGCCCTGCCTCAGGCTCCTTGCTCAGCGAGGAGTCTGCTTGAGATTCTTTCCCCCTCCTCTAACCCTGCTCCCCCACATCAGATGAATTCATAAAATCTTTTAAAAAAAGAAGGAAATCAGTAACTGTTATTATTTTACTTAAAAATTGCCAGCAGCTTCCAATTACTAAAAGTAGGAAGTCCTTCTCCTTGCCACGGTCTTCACTGATTTGCGTGTCACCCCTTTACTCATGACACACCTGCTGGCCTCTTTGCCATTTTGTGAACAAGCCAAACATTCTCTTCCCTTGGAGCTTCTGCACTTGCTTCTTGTGCTAACTGGAATACCCTTTTATCTTTGGGTTTATTCTTTCGCTTTCTTAAAATTTCAACTGAAATATCAACTTGTCAAAAAGATCTTCCTGGACCACACTTTATATCATCATACCTCCATCCATTAACTCTGTTTTAGATTTAAAAAATAAGTCTTATTCACAACTTGACATATATTTATACATTTGTTGTCTCTCTCCCCATTAGCTGGTAAGCTCCTTGAGAACAAGTACTACACCTGATTGGCTTACTGCTTCATTCCATTCTCACAGTGCCTAGTGCAGAGAAGAACAAATGTGACAAGCTGCTATGTGCTGCTGTATTTTATTTTTTTAAAAAGATTTTACTTTTTTGAGAGAAAGTGAGCATGATTGGCGTGGGGTGCTATGGCAGAGGGAGAAAGAGAAGCAGACTCCCCAATGAGCATGGAACCTGATGCAGAGGCTTGATCCCAGGATTCTGGGATCATGACTTGAGCCAAAGGCAGACAAGTAACCGACTGAACCTCCCAGGCATCCCTCTGCTGCTTTATTTTAAAGACCACATATTTTGGGGGTACCTAGGTGGCTCGGTTTGTTAAGTGACCAACTCTTGATTTTGGCTCATGTCATGATCTTGAGGTTGTGGGATGGAGTCCCACAGCTCGCTCCACGCTCAGCTGGGAGTCACCTTGAGAATCTCTCTTCTTCTCCCTTTGCCCCTCCCCCTCGTCTCTCTGTCTCTCGAATAAATAAATAAAACTTAAAAAAAATAAAGACTACATATTTTTACTTATTTATGAATAAAGTCCATTATTATTGCACCTAACGTTCTATCTTTAAGGCCTCAAAATTATAATTGGAAACAAAGAGGAAGCAAAATGATCTCTAGATCTTTCAGTAGATAAAAGGAATAGTGAAAGTATGGCTATTCTTAAAAAAAAAAGGTATATAGTTTTCTTTTCGTGGAGGAGAATAGGCTTTACTATAAATTATTAGAACTTAAGACATAATACCAACTTCTCTTGATAAAATAAATATCTTGAGAAAATTAATGAACATTTGTTGCTAAAAATTATCTTTTTTGAAACACACTTTTACTTATAATTAAACAGTAAATCACTGAGAGTAATGACCATGTATACTAGTGCTTGTTAACCATGTCAAGCAGTATCAAAACCTTTTTCCAGTGATTGAGTGAATGAACAAAAGCATTGTTACCTGTTGAGTTTAAGATGTTTTTCCATTTGGCTACGATTAATAATTTTTTTTTTTAATTTTAATTTATTTATTTATGATAGTCACAGAGAGAGAGAGAGAGAGAGGCAGAGACATAGGCAGAGGGAGAAGCAGGCTCCCTGCACCGGGAACCCGATATGGGATTTGATCCCGGGTCTCCAGGATCGCGCCCTGAGCCAAAGGCAGGCGCCAAACCGCTGCGCCACCCAGGGATCCCTGGCTACGATTAATAAATATATAGAGATATAGTGTAGTTTGAACAAAAAGTAAAGTATTTTGAGTAGATCTTTAAGGAATAACTAGATATCCTACGACAGTATGACCTATTCTTACATGCACACATGCATATGTACCCCCCATATTCTATGTTTCAGTCTACAGAATTACTAAGGATAGCGCTGGAATTTTGCAATCTTTCTTGAAGGTTCTTTGGAAACCATATAAACTGAATATGTTTCCTTAAAAGTGCTGCCTGCTAGAACACTCTACCTGTGTTTCGGGAATAATGGGGCTGTCTTCAGGAGAAGATCTGAAAAAGGTGGATAAAGGAGAAGACACGATGATGGGATTTGGCCTCACAAATCCACTCAGATCACAGCTGGGAATGTCATTCTCTTCCTTCTTCATGACTAGGGTATCCATCACATAGAAGACATTCCATGGAATCCACACGGTATGATACTGAGTGAGGAATGGGGAGCGTTCAAATACCAAAGTAAGAGAAGCACCGCCATTTGCCACCAAATCAAACCTAAGAAAAAACAAGATTACTTAGCTAGTTATCTGGATCCCATACAGCTTCCAACATTGCTCAGCTCCTCAAACATGCTTTATGAAGAAAACCAACTTTTCTCCCAACTTGTATATAATTTCAAACCTATTAAAATAATTATTCAACAAACACCCACACACCTTTTACTTAGATTTACCAATTTATTAACATTTTCCCAAATTTGCTTTATCTATCTACCCATCTACTCATTTTTTTCAGAACAATCTGAGCTTAAGTGACAGATGTTACAGAATGTAACTTCTAAACATGTCGATGAATCTTCTAAAACAAAGAAAATTCTCCTACAAAACCACAACCATGTTATCATATCTTGGCAAATGAAATCAACTTTCAAAGAACTACATGGGCATGTGACTTTATGTCTCTGCCACATGAGCTGTCACAGATTTCTGGAGTCTAAAAGTTGTTGCAGTTCTATATTAAAAGGGATAATAAAACATAATGGGTGATACAAGAATGCCTAGCTCTTATACTGAAAATATTTCAAACGGAGAGAGTGCAGTGGGAATGACTCACATTCCATCCTGGCGGGTAATAGTATATCCATATTCTGGGTAATGGAAAAATGAGACATTTACTCCAATAAGTGGAGTTCCATCAGCAGTTAGTACTTGGCCTCTGATGACGGATGCAAGGCTGTGGGAAAAGTAGAAGAATTAAAACGAACATTTGTCTTCTCAGGCCAACATTATCATGATTTAGAGATAATTCAACGTAAGGATAAAATAACACTGTCACACACACTCACTATTCACAAAAAACAGACCTGAAATAGTCCCGAGACAATGTCCCTTTTAATTCAATGTAATTCACATTCTCTAAATGCCTGGTGTTTACCCTGGTTTTAATGTGTTGCAATCTGGTTTTTGGAGAGTTATCAAGACCAATAATTTAGAGATGAATTTTTTAAAATTATAAATTGTGCTTTTTTCATAAGTCATATATCTGGTGCTTACATGAAGAAAAGTATACCTTCCAATTAATTCCAAGGCAATCCATAAATCTGCAGGGACCAAGAAGAACAAGATTTAAAGGGGCAATAAGGCACATTTGTGCAACAACTTTTAATCAACTGCTGGGTTTAACTGCATTAATGCTGTTAAATTACTGCAGAGCCAGGAGTTCTAGTGTAAATCATCTTCTTTTACTCAGTGAGACACAAGACACCTGCTTTCACTTACTGGTTTATTTTCAGGTCATTACTGCTCTGTAAAGCACCAGTCAAACAGCTTATGCAATCTTACTGCCATGCCGTTAGCAGTTCCATTACATTAATTCATAATTTATATTATTTAGCGAGCTCAGCTAAAAAAAAAAAAAAGCTCACTTCTGTTTTGCCTTTTGGGGTCTTTTCACTGCGTCTTTTGAAACATTTCCAACTGTGCTAACAAAATCAACTAGTTAAATGAAGATTTATTGACTCCTTAATGGGATGTCCTGTTACGGCTCAGGTACTGAAATTGACAAAGTATGTGAACTGTGTCAAAAATACTTGAAATGTGAAGTTTGGTGAGGTATTTGTCGAAAGAGGAAAAACTGCATTAGAAGAAAAAGCACTTTCCTCAAATTCACAGTCATCAGTTCATATAAAGTGCATTTAACTGTTGATAATATCACTACAAATCTATCTATGTAAGGAAAAAAAATGCATTAACCTTTTATTGAAAGGACTTTCTCCAGGTATGACATGGGTGCTATCAGATCCTATAAGAAAACTGATTCGATCATAGAAGGATTTGGCAGCTTGCTGCGAGGGGGACTGTAAACTTTGGCTGATGACATCCTGAGGATCAGGCAATCCGCGGCAGTAGGGTTGGTTTTGGCAGGAACTCTGTAAACAGCAATCAGGATCCATACAGTCAACGAGCCCATCTGCAGAGAGAAGTGGAAGCCAGTAAGAGAGTTCCTCTTGTTAATCGGTGATTGAGCAACACGTTTTGTTTGTTGGTTCATTTTCTTTCAGATCCAAGGAATCGCCGCCCCACCCCCCGCCCCCCATCTGAGAGTAATTTCTACGAGGCACACTTTTTGGAAACATCAAATATTAATACAATTCTTGCAGCCGCTTTCACGCAGAGTAAATGTTTGGATTGGAGATGGCTGATTCTGAGTAAGAAATAAAAAATGACTGATTAAAACAATCTATTAGCGTAGGAAGGACTACAGATTCGTTTTAAGAATAATTACTGAAGCCTTCTCTATTTTAGAGAAAATGCATAGGAGTTAACATAATGAGCATTACTTGTCAATGGATTGGGACCTGCGTAGGGTGAAGGTCTAAAATTTGGGAAAGGGTCAGAAAATGAAAGTCTGTGAAGTGAAGCAAATACAAATCAACCTATAATGGTTGAGATCAGCTAATCGCCTTTCAAGGAAATAGCTTTCCCGAGGAAGTTAAAGTGTGTTCCAAATAAAATTAAGGCATCTCTCAAATTTTACATAGAATCCTGAGTCCCTTGCATGCCTCTGCTAAAATGGAGGTGTAACTTTAAAATGGCAAATGGAGGTGCCTGGGTGGCTGGGCTGGGTGATTGCCTTCAGCTCAGGTCATGGTCGGAGGGTCAAGCTTTGCATTGGGCTCCCCACTCAGCAGGGGTAGAGTCTGCTTCTCCTCCCTGCTTGTATTCTCTCTTTCTCAAATAAATAAAATCTAAAATAATTAAAATAAATAAAATGTGGCAAATGTAAGTGAGCCATAATATTGGAAATGATAAGAAGCCTATCACAAGAAACTTGACCGAAAGTGCTGGTGACCTTAAAAGTGTACCGGAAAGAGTTTGCTGGTGCCTCCTCCAGAACATCAAAAGAAAACCACATTCGGGGGATCCCTGGGTGGCTCAGTGGTTTAGTGCCTGCCTTCGGCCCAGGGCGTGATCCTGGAGTCCCAGGATCAAGTCCTGCATCAGGCTCCCTGCATGGAGCCTGCTTCTCCCTCTGCCTGTGTCTCTGCCTCTCTCTCGCTCTCTGCGTCTCTCGTGAATAAATAAATATAATCTTATAAAAAAAAGGAAACCACATTCAATGGCCTACGTATATTGTTTGAAACATATAAACCAACTCATTAGTGGACAAGAGTGTCAGGTTATGATGATTTGGTGACAATATTCCTGAAGATCATTCTTTCCCTGGGCAGCTGACACATAAATTTTGAATGGCAGGCAAATGACATTTCTCAGTATAGATTAATAAAAACATTAGTTTCTGAGGACTTCAAATCATTTTTGGGAGATCGGACAAATGGTTTTAAAATCTTCAAACCCAAGTATCAGTGTGACCCTATTCTGGGAACTCAGTTGAAAATATCTAGTTGGCCTACATATTTTATTTACACAAGGGTTTTTTTTTTTTAATAACTTTTATTTAAGAGAAAACTGCACTAGCCATTTGTTTTGGCTTTAGGCCACTCTTATTAATAGAATATAAGTTTGCCCCTTCATTACCTGACAGCAAACTGAGACAAAAGGAAACAGACTAAATTGAGTTATGCTATCCAGTCTAAAAGTAGGTCAACAACACAGGTAAGGTCACAAACAAAAGGTGAGGGGTCCTGGATGAATGTCCTTAAATCATTTCGCCCGCCTGAAGGAGAATGCAGTGAACACCTATGATTTCTCCTAACATTCACTTCTTCTTTGGGCAACAGCTCTACATTTCCATTTCTGTATCCATCCGTCCCCACCTCTGAGTCTGTGTGCATTTCCCCCTGAATGTTTGGTTCAGGAATGTCCATTCGACCTAACTTGTCTAACTGGAGTGAATTGCAGGTACTGTCTGCAGAGATTCCTCCTCCCTCTTCCCCTGAGGCTTGGAGCTGTAAGGCTGTGAGCTTGGGGTTGCTACCTCAATCCAGCTGCTTGCTACAGGAGAACCTGTCTCCCAATACAGCCATTCAAGGGGCAGAGCCCAGAACTGGAGAGAAAAACAACAGGTCATCTTGGCATCTTCAGGGTTTTTGCAACAAGCCACATCTGAGGTCCCTGGCTTTTCAGTTGCGGAAGCCAAGCTATCATCTTCTTCCTTACGCCTGTTTGGGTTAGATTTTCTCTCACTTAAAACTGAAAGAGACTTAATTTATCTAGAGACTGTAACTAAAAATCCCTACACTTTTCCCCTTGCTGTGAAAAACAAGCTTAAAACATGAATACTTGAATTAAATTTATGGTGTTGGACCCCTTTTACATTAATATTTTAATTTTTTTGTTACCATGATGAGTCAGAATTTCTGATAGGCAGATCTTCCCACATATTGTTTCCTTATGATAATTACATTTTTATGTAGGTGTCTGTTATTTTTTTTTAAAAAATGTGTTAATTATTTGAAAGTGTGGTTTTATCCCTTTGGTAAAAATTTTAAATCATGTTTTAAGCAAATCAAATGAAACTGAGCTTTGAAACTTTATATAAATTTATCGAAATACTACTTTCTTAGCCAAAAGGCCATGAAGATCAAAAATGTCTAAATATTTCTCCATATTTCTGGAAGGAAGATAAAACTATGCTATAAGCTTACTTTTCACGAAGATATAATAATGCAATATACTGTCTATTTTTTCTACCTCTTTCAAAGAAATTGAAGCAGTTATTAAAGATTCAGCTTTTTAAAGTAGAAGACTATTGAACTATTGCCCCAATACCAAAGGAAACCAATTAAAAAAATAAAATCCTTTCAATAACAATTCATGATTATGTATTGAGACTATAAGGAATCCTTAATTATGTGTTTTATGATATATTTAAGAGTTCTCACTCCGTGGCTTTTGAATGGGTGTGTATATGCTTGGGAGAATCATTTAACACAAATATTTTATATTCCTGCAGGGTTTTCCCTTACATTCATTCTTCAACCTAAATAGAGACTACACACACTAGAGAAAGTACTTCCAATTATTGTATTTTATCTCCATTAGTCTTGTAAATTAAAGGTTAAATGCCCGCGTTCCTCTCCTCCCCCACACTACTCTGGTATCTTCCTTTAGGCAATATATGGTACAAGTTGCCAAAGAGGAATGCTCAAATTTAGTCATTCATCTTTGTTAGTTTATAAAAAGCAAATGTGGATCTGGCATGTAGTCTGCAGGTCATAAAACTGCATGAGATTGACACCTTCTGAACTAATCAGTTGGAAATGCATTTTTACAAGCCTCTCTGCTAACATCAATCAGAGAAAGAATCTCATTTTCAATAGCCAAGATGCAGGGACACACGGTTTGTTATTTTTTCTGCAGAGTTTATCAGTAACTTGCCCAAGCAAGTGACGGATGGTTATGAATCCGGCTCTCTATAACTTGGGAAAACATTTTTCATTCTTTGTACTTATATAGCTGGGGCCATCTAGTACAAGTAAGTTGATTATCCACTTGTCCAAATGTAGACTGTAGTAAAATTGTCTTTGTGGAATAGCTTCTCAAAATCATTGAGTTTCCTTTTAGTATTGGGAATATTAGGTTGGTTTAAATTTATATTGGTGTACACATCATATCTAATAGAATTAATCATCAAAAATCTAAAGATTAGATCAGAAATGCTCAAAACCTAATGAAAAACAACTTCGAAGATCAGTAAAGGGCCTTTCTTCCTTTGCAATTTCTTTGATGTAAAGCAGATAATTTAGTTTGTGCTTCTGACCACTCAATCCTGAACATTATGGCTGTAGTTATTATTTTAAAACATGTTCTCTTTTTACCTTATGCTTTCCCTGGACTATAACAGTGGTTGGCAAACTTACTTTGCAAAGGGCCAAATAGTAAGTGATTTAGGCATGCAAAGGGCCATGCCGTCTCTGTTGCAACTGTTCGATGCCACCTTTATAGCATGAAAGCAGCTGTGGACATTATGGAAATGAATAAGTGTGTTCCAATAAAACTTTATTTACAAAAACAGTCTTTGGCCAAGAGGTCATAGCTTGCCAGCCTCTGGTCTTGCTTTAATGTTTCTACCCTGCCTATTCCCTTGAATTCTTCAAATCATTCTTGACGTTGTTTCCGGCAAATTTAGACCATGCATATTTTGCCAGATTTACATGAAAACTTCTGACGCCAGGTCTTTCCCTAGGTTACCCCTATGCTGGCTTTGATCTGCTTGTCAAAACTCACTTTCTTCTTTCAAGTAGCTATGGATACCTGAACCTGTTTTTCAAAGCCTTGATTTAATGACTGGATAAAAAGTCATAAATTTCCCTTTAATGAATTTTCTTTCTTTTTTTATTCAAAAGATAATTAATGTCTACTGTCCTACCCCACAGTATTTGGAAGCTCCCTTCCCCTATTCCAAGTTAGAGGTAGAGATAGAAATTCTGATGGAATAATTTATTTGTAGACTCCAGAATTTTCAAAGTGTATAAAACCTTTCATTACTTTTTAAAGTCACTGTTCTGTGATATGCATGAAATTTATTTATGACTGAATTGGAATCATGTTTAGGTTTCTGACTATTCTTGTTTGTGTGTGTGTGTGTGTGTGTGTGTGTGTGTGTCCATCAGCGGTCTCTTTGTAGGTTTGGTGTCTATGTTCACATATGTCTCTAGGCTGATAATTCTTCAGCACTTCAAATCTACAAATTGCCTTCTAGATATTTCCATTTGGATATTATGTAAGGTAATATCTAAAAACTTAGTGGGTCTAAAACACAAGATATCTAATCTTCTCTAAATATGCTGTTTTCTTCTGTATTTCCTACTTCAATGAATGGTTCTACAACCCACCCATCCAGTCTCTCAAAGCAGAAACCTGAGTGTCATCCTTGACTCCTCTTCTCCCTTCCTTTTTCTCTGCACTCCATCAATTACCAGGTTTTCTTTTCTTCACCCCAAATATTTATTGAGTTTTTCTCTTTCCATTTCACTGAAACTGCCCTTCAGGCCACCATGGTCACCT